GTTCTTGCATGAGGCCCAGTCTGACTATAATCCAGCAGTGGGCCTTGACCTAATCCCTGCTGATTGTGACTCAGAGACGAAACTGACCCAGTTTAGAGACGACCTGAAGATTGTGATCCTGGGTGATCTTCAGCTGCTCCACTAAGACGTTGCATCGATCGCAGCCTCCTGCTCCAAGCCTGAAAACAGGTTCATTTGATGAAACTCCAACACGTCGTTAAGCTCCGCCTCTAAAAACAATCATTAATGTTTGTTACAAAGAGTCTAAAGCAGGTCCTCCACAGTCACTGTCCTGCATGTTTAACCTCTGCAGAAGCTTGAGACACCTCTCAAACCTGCAGGACAGCTGCCCTCCTGGACCAGGACCAGGACCAGGACCAGGACCAGACACTCATGTCGTCTCTACCTTTCCTCCAGCTGACTGATGGTGTCCCGCAGGGTTCTGTTCTGCTCCTTGAGTTGCTGGTTGCGGTTGTAAAACACCTCCAGGCTCTGAGCATCTCTGCAGGAAACAAACGTTTCAGCAACGTGACCAAACCTGCCTCCTCCACGTTTTCACACTCCTCTCCAATTCTTGTGTTTCCCATCGGTCCCCGGCAGTTTTTCAATACTTCACTGATTATTTTTAGGGTCACGTAGTGAAGAAGTCAATCCTTCATCATGTTTTAGATTCTGACATTTCTACTTGCAGTTTATCATTGATGAAAAAACAAGTTTGGTTTAAACACTCAAACGTTGACAGCACCAAAATATTATTATTTATCTAAATACTGGCTTTATCTAAGCTGCCACGAAGAACATTATTTTATCTGCCCTTGTTCTAAATTTGATAATGATTTGAAACGTATGTTTTTTAATCTGGAACAGCGCTTGTTGCAAAGTGTGTTAACGCTCGTCACATTTAACTCGCTGTCATTGGTCGAGGAGCTTTGTTTACAAAACACATGTCCACATGGTTTTTAAATTGTTTTAATTTCCTTACTTTMTAAGWCACATTAAGTTGATTTGATGCTACAGTTTGCCTTGTAATGTTATTTTATACCTTTTCTGCTACATTTGAATTGGCTRTTATTAAGTTTTATTAGTTTTTTAGGATACAAGATGCTTCCTACAAAACCAGAATGTGAATCTTTAAAATTTCATGGTGATATCTTGAACACTGAGGAAGTTATGGGAAAAATTAGAAAACAGCAGGTGAAATGATCACACACTGGTTCTGCTGTGAACAAGAAAACATGAGCTGATTTCACCTGAACAAACAATAACTTCCCTCAAAGGTCAGATAATCACATGATTTTGGTGTTATTTTGTGTGTGTGTGTATATATATATATACA